CGCAACTCGCCGTCGTCGTGCTCTCCTGTCTCGCCACTTCTGTCACATAGCACTCATAGATGACGCCTACACACACGCGTCGATGCGTGGCTCGCTGCCTCTTTCTGTTCTTGTTGCTGGGTGTGGCGCGGCTCCTCGATCATCGCGTGCGCTGACCTGCGCACCGCGCACGGTGCGTGTGGTTGGGTACGCACGATCTTCTCGTATGCCCCCCCTCCCCTCGGGAGGCTCTCTAGCTGCCCGCGCAGTTCCTTTCTCCTTTGCTCTCTCCCTCTTTTTCGTGCTCGCTCTCTCCTCTTCACATCCTTGCGTATCCTTCGCCTCTTCCCCCTGCCTCTCCCCCCCCCCCCCCCCCCTCCCCCCTCCCTTCCCCCCTCGTACCACTCCCCCCCCCCCCCCGCCCGCCCGCCTTGCTCTGGGTGTTCCTCCTCTCCTTATATTTTTTTTTCCGTACCCGATGCACCCCCCCCCCCCCCCCCCAGCGCTCCCGCCCCCCCCGTCCCCCCCCCCCCCTCCTGCTTCCCCCCCAGGCCCCCCCCCCCCCCCAACCCCCAAGGGGGGGGGGGGGGGGGGGGCGGGGCGGTTCGGAAAGTCGACCCTCATAACCCTCAGAATTGCGGCGGCGTCGCCCTGGTTCTGGCCACTGATGGCGCTGGAACCTTGACGTCATGTACGGAGAATGCGTTCAAAACCAAAAGACGGGACGGCGGCGCTATGTAGTACGGCTAATGAGTCGCACTCCGTTTTCGAGCTGGCGCATTCTCGAGCAGCGAAACGAGAGAAAAAAACAGAGAAAAAGGACTCTTGACCGATGCGACAACTGCGATGCCCATGCGGAACAGAGGAGCGTCTATGGACGGACCCTGTAAACAACCGTGGATCATCCACCTCTGCGCAGCACCAGATCAGCTTATGGCTTAACCTGGAGGCAGAGAACGGGGGGACGGGGCAGAGCAATGCGAGCGGGCGGGATTTGCTGCTAACAAGACTCCCGACTCCCAAGCTCAGGATCAATGAGGGTTCGGGTGCAGTCAGGTGTGCGCTGGGTCTTGGGGAACGTACCTCCCTACCAACTTGCTACAGTACCTACCTTCGGAGAGGGCGGACATTTTTCAGTGACGGGACCCACGCCCCGGTGTGGACGGTGACGGTTTGGGAGAATGATAACCGTCTGCAGTGTGGGTGGATCAATGCAGAGCAGGCAGAGGGAAGGAAAGGGTAGTGTTGCGGTCGGGGCTCAGGTACCAGATTGGGGACCCACCGGGACTGTGGCTGTCCTTCCTGCTTTCCTCTCCTCTCCTCTCCTCGTTGCTTGCTGAGCAGAGCGCGCTGACGCAGTGCGTTGAAAGTCAGGGAGCTGCAGCCCACTTCGTGCGTCCTGGCCCTGCCTTGCGAAGTACCATGTAGCGCTGCTGGCTCTGCGCCGGGTGGACCCTTGGACCCGTACATGCCCAGTGTCCCATAATTTATCTCGGCGCTAGTCCGTCTCCATCCCAGCGTCCCTGGCCCCTGTGGACACCCAAGGCAGGTAGGTCGAATCCACACACACCCGCCCGCACACCCTCTGCTACTGCGCACACCCTGGCGCCTCGTCGCCGCTCGCCGCTCAGGTTCTCTGTGCTCTGCGCTTTCCCATGCCATGGGCTTTCATGCACCAGCTCCATTTCCCATCCTCTTGTCCTCCCTCATCTTCAGACCACACCCCCCTCCTTCCCTCCTCCACACGCTTGTCGCGCCCCCCGTACCATAACTTGTTATATACTCGGAA